ACATTTTGTGTGCCCAGAACATTCACGTGGGTGAGCTCATTTTTCTTTCACTCTGGCAAAGGCACTTTCTCCATTTCATATAAGGGAATGGTTGCCCAGGCTCAGAGTGGTGAAGGACTTGCCTAAGGTCACACAGCTAGCAGTGGAGAGGGGATTTGAACCCGAATATCACTTTCTAGTTCTCTGCCCTTTTCTGCTCCACCAGGGTGTCTTCTGGAATCTGTGATAGAAGAGAGACACAGAGCATTAGCTTCCTGACACAGGCCCTAAGCTAGGGGCTTCACACATGTCCCCTGATTTCTAAATCCCTACACCCATGAAGTTGGGGCTGTTATTCTTGTCATTTTAGAAGGTAGAGACCGAGGCTCAGAGAGGTGAACTGACTTACCCAAGGCTGCACAGTCAGTTTAATTTCATATCCTGGTCTGTTTGACCCCATTAGGTCACATCTTGATGTATGGGTGGTTTTTGTGGCTAAACATAGGGGCAGTGGGACTGTTCCTTGTTACCAGAATGGCTTAAAAGGCAAAGGGATGCTTTCTCCATTAACGATGGCGTGAACATATTTTAAGGAATGGAATGGTGTCTCTGAGCAACAATGGTTTACAAAACAGCTGCAGACAGCTTAGCAGATCCCCTCCCTGCTGGATCCCAGCCAGAAGGGGGCTCTGGGGCAAGGGAGGAGGCACCTTCCTGGAGCTCCCTGGGTCTGAGCCAGGGGCTGGGGCTGCGGAATGGAGCCCAAGGCGACCGGGCAGGAAGCAGCGACCCAGCCCATCGACAACAAGGGCCCAATCAATGCTATCTCCCCAGGCCATGCCTGGCCAGACATTGATTTCTGCCGCTGTTGTTAACTCCCTGTTTATGTAACGCCTGAACTTTGCACAACTGAACCGTTTCATGTTCAGAAGAGGGCCTGTTGCCATGAAAACCAGGCTGCACATGACAGCCGGGATGCGGCGGTATCCCTGTTTTATTGGCCTGCGCTGAGTGTATTTTAACCTTGATAAGTCAATAACTTTTTGTACAAAAGGAGATCTGCCAGGCGGGCTGGGGAGGGCCTGCTGGCCTTTCCAGGCCAGAGGGGAGGTGGGGCGGGCTGGGTTTAATCCCCTGGAAATCTCACTGTCACTCAGAGCCCAGGAGAACCAGGCCCAGCTGGCCAGAGAGCAGAGATGACCTTGTTGGGGGGGGGTCGCCTTTGAGGGGGGGTTGCCAGGACTACCCCCATCTCCAACCGTTTCTGGTTTGTTAAGGCCTCCAGCGAAGTCAGCAGGCCTTCGTGCAAAGACACCCACCAGGGCTCAGATCCTAGTTCCACCCACTCAAGAGCTCTGTGCCACCCTGATCAAGGCCACTGACCCCACCTCAGGGTCCACACCTGTAACACAGGCCAGTGGGTCCTCTTCATGGCTTGTTGCAAGGTTTACAGATCACGTATGAGAAGCACCTGGGGTAGTGCCTGGTCCATAGCAAGGCCTCAGAAGATGGATGTTATTACTATAATTGTTGCTATATTTTACAATAATAATCATTGATTATGCTTATAAAGAGCCCATTAGGCTTTTGGAAATGTTACACATATTTTCTCATCATAGTCCTTGAGTTAGGCAGGGCTATTCCCAATTTTCAAATGAGGAAACTGAGGCCCAGGGAAATTGGCTGGCTTGTCTAGGGGGTCATGTGATAAGATGGTGGTGCTGATTGAAGGAACAAATCCTCCTGACTCCCAGTCCAGTGCTCTTTCAAACTCCATGCACAGGAATAGCCAACCCTGACTCTGGCAGACATCACTAATCAATGGTAGCACAGTGTTCTTTCCATTCTAATCCTGAGTGAGGCCTCAGAATCCTCCTCAACACAGAGCTGGTAATTTGAGATGAGACTCATATGGAACTCTGTGCTCCCAAAACGGCTGCAGGTTCAAGTCCCACCTCTGGCCCAAATGTACTGTACAACTTTGGGTGAATGCCTTCCCCGGGGTTTCCTGATCCCCAGTAGCGAAACAAAGGATGGGGGGCATTTCATGGTTCCTGGATTTTTCCGGGGGGTCTCCCAAGTGGAAGGGACCCCCACCACCTCCTGTTTCCCATCCCAACAACCCAGGCCCCTCGAACCCTCCCCAAACTCCATCTACAAATATTGACAGGGAAGCTGGTATGTGTCTGTGATTACACAAGGTGCTGGGGACACAGCAGTGAAGATGGTGACATTGAGTCCCACCCCTACAGAACTGACAGTCTAGACAGGGAGACAGGAAACAAACAAGTCAACCCACAGTGCTCAGAGAGTTGCCAACAGTGATAAGTTTGGGGAAGGGAAAAGCAAAAGGGAGGTGCTCTGGGGAGAACTTCAGACGGGGCTAGTCAGGGAAGGCTTCTCCGAGGAGGTGACATTTAAGCTAACGAGCCAGCCGGGTGAAGAGCAGAGGAAGAGTGGTCTGGGCGGAGGGAACAGCTCACGCAAAGGCTTCGAGGTGGGAAGCAGTTTGGCACCTTCAAGCAACCAAGAGGAGGCCAAAGTGGCTAGTGGGATGTGAGGGTGGGGTGTGGTTGGGGAGCTTGTGGGTGCCAGTCCCTGCGACTACCTGGGCCTCCTCAGCACCCCTCTGTTGGCCTCCTTGCCCCATCCCCGCCCAAAGCTTGGCCCAGAGAGAGGCTCCAGGTTCTGGGGATGGGGGGCAGGGCTGGGTGAGTAACAAGGTTACACGTGCTTCTTCTTTCTCCTTTTCTCCAGAAGAAGCATAAAGAGCTCTTTCTTTTCTGCTTATTAATAGCTCTGATTAAATTATCTCTGAAAAACCTACATGGCGTGCACCAATGGGGGCTCGGCTCCCTCCAGGCTCTGGCCTAGATTACAGCAATGAGGGCAGGTGAGGCACCTGGGGGATGGGGAGGGAGGCTGGGCCAGGCCTGCTCCCCCTGCCAGGATAAAGGCTCAGTCTCCACCTCCTTGCCTCCTTGCCCAGCCCCAGCTCAGCCTCTGAGCCACCACCACTCTGGGGACATTCACCTGGGACACTGGGCCTTTGCATTGACAATTCCCTTTGCCAGGAGCACTCTTCCCTCACCTCTCCCCTTGGCTACCTCCTACTCATTTTTCCCAGGACAGCTGATCATTCTTTCCACCACCACTAGCCCACCAGCTGGGTCAGGTGCCTGCTCTGTGCTTTTCCCTTCCCTGTTACCCTAGGTGATAACTGCTAGTCGCCTTGTCTGTCCCCCATGAAACTTGATTTCCACAAGGCCAGGGACTGTGTCTGGGTTACTGCTGAATCCTCAGTGGCTTGCACAGGGCAGGTCCTTAGGAAATGATGAATGAATGAGTAGGGTTAAAGGGGGAATGATTAGGCCTCAGTGAGAGAGGCATGACTAACCTTACATACGTGGGAGAGTGGAAGCAAAAATTCTAGGCTCCAGGCCTCTTGAGCAGTGCCGCTGTGTCAATTAACCCCATTTCACCGATGGGAAAGTGAGGCACAGAGCAGATGAGTCACATGGCTAGTCACCTGAAGAGTTAGGATTCAAATCCAGCCTGTCTGATTGCCCTCCCTCTTCCTCTCCCTGCTCCCCCTCTACAAGAAAACAAAACAGAAACCTGGGCCACATTCATCTATTGATTCGGAGATTAATTCAACAAACCTTTATTGAGCATTGACCGTATGTCAGGCCCATGCTGGGGATAAAGCAGTTTGAATGCAGCCCCTGACCTCACAGAGCCCTCAGGTTGGTGGGGAAGACTGACAAAAGAGTGGGCCATTATAACACAGACTGGGTGCATCTATGAAAGGGGAAGCACTCCAGCCTGGAGAGCAGTAGTCAGGGAAGGCTTCCTGGAGGAGATGGCAGCCTAACTGAAATCTGAAGGCGGAGCAAGCATCAACTACCTACCTGGAAAAGAGGACATTTTAGATGGAGTGGACAACCTGGGCAAAGGCCTGGAGGCCAGAAAGACATCTGGGAGGATGTACAGGTATTTTAACAAGGCTGAAGTGTAAGGGGCATACAGGGCACATGAGGAATGAGGTGCTCTCAGTCCCCTTTCCCCCTTGGAGCCTCTTGGACCCCTGGCTGGAGCCAACACAATGTTCAGGGGCCGACCTGCCTGTTGGTTCTACGGACCGTGGCAAATCCATCTTGACATTGTCTCCATTCACATAATGCAGAGTTATTGGACATGACCAAAAGCAAGGAAAGGCTGGATCAAGGCTGAGAGTTGGGGGGCCAGGGGGCAATGGTACAAGGGTCTGACCTCAGGGATGTGGGCTGTGGGAAATGGTATGGGGCAGTAGCACTGAGCTTGTGTATGGGGCATAAGTGAAGGTCCAAGGCTGAGCATCTGTGAGGACATCCACCTGCCTAGAAGGGTAGAGGGGCACCTGGAAGATGAGTTCCCTATGTAGCTACCTTCAAGCCTGGTGCTGCCTGAAATGCCACCATTTAGCACATCATGGACTCACATACCTTCAGAGATGGAGGGGCCTTTTGAGATCATCTAACCCCTGGGCTGCACTTTGGAATAATGTGGGGATCTTTGGAAACTACGGAGGCAGAGACAGGTTGCCAGCTCCAGGGTCTGATTGGCAGGGCTGGGTTATAAGCCCCAACCTCCATTTTATAGCAGAGGAAACCGAGGTCCAGAGAGGAGAAGAAACTTGCCCTCAAGGTCACACCCAGTCAATGAGAGGCTGGCACACAGCACAATAAATCAAGGTCAGGGGCTCGGGTTGGGACCCCAATCTGTCATCGTGTGACCTTGTGCAAGTCGCATGGCCTTCCTTGGCTGTGAGATGTGGATAATAATGGAATAGACCTCACAGAGTTGCTGTGAGGGTAAAAGGAGGTAGAAATATGTGATATAAATAGCACTGAGCATGCGCTTTGGCACATAGTAGGTGTCAAGTCATGGTAACCTACGACAGAAGAAATCCCAAACTTTGCAAAGGCTCTGGTGTGGCCCCCTGCCGCCATCTTCCCTTCCTGCTCTCTCTTTCTTCCCAGGGTTTTGATTGTCGCTGTCCCTCGCCTTGCACCTGGCCTGGGTCCACCAAGCATTCTCCCCACCTGTTCACGCCCAGGTCCACACAGCAGGTCGCCTGGGCAACCCACCCAGACGTCACTGGCAGCTCTGGCGGCTGGCCCAGGAGCTGAAGCAGCTGGTGGCTGGATCACGTTTCCAGGTGAATCCCCTCCCCCATCACAGCCCCCCTCTCCGGGGGGTTTGGGTGGGGCAGCGGGGAGAAATAGAGTGGGGCACGGAGACAGGGAGATGCTGGGAACGGGGAGCGTGGCGGGCAGCCTGAAACAGGGCCAGCTTCTGTCCTAGATAAGGCAGTGCGTGGCCTACTTGGGCCGGCGCTGGAGCTTCCCTGCCGGTGCCTCTCCCAGGCTCTGGGTAGCTGTGGGTTGGCTCCTGGAAGCAGGCTAGGGCCCAGCTATAATCAGCTCCTCCCACTGGATACATTCACCAGGGTCTCCAGAGCTCCCCACATCTGAATGACCACAGCTGGCATTTATTGAGCACTTACTGTGTTCTGAGTCCTTTCCAGGCAATAACTCACTCTGCCCTCACACCAACCTGTAAGGTAGGAATTATGATACACAGACAAGAAACTGAGGCACAGAGCCATGAAGATAAATGTCAAGGCCACAAGGCCAGGGCTAGAATCCTGCCCAGGTTTTGTGGGACTGGGGGGTGTGGGGTGGGATGGGGGTGAGGGTCACACAGACATAGCCTGAGTGTGGTGGGAGGAGTTCTGACTGCTGCTTTGCATTTCTTTAGGGATCCTGAGATCTTTCCTGGAAAGCTGCCTCCCCAACTTGCTGTGTGATGCACACATGGCAACTGAGGGAAATGTCCCTCCCAGGGCTCAATTTCTCCAGCTGTAAAATGGGACTGCTAAATGGGCCAACCCGCGGGCTATCAGACAGAACAAATGAGAACCTATTAAGCTGCTTAGAAAGTAAAAGGCAAGGTGCGTATAGTTTGATGGAGTCAAAATTTGGACCCCAAAGAAAAAAGCAGGGCAAATAAACTTCCAGTGAAGTATCAAACAAAACAAAATAAAACAACAAAAACAAAAACCCCAGGTGATACTGTGCCTCATTTTCTCCATCCGTTAAGTTGGGGCAGTGGGTACCAGCTCCTACCTCCCACATGTGTGGTGACGATCTGGTGAGGTGAAACTTACAATGAGCATGGGGCCTGGTTTTATAGTTAGTGCTCCACAGATCTCAGCTGTGATGCCAAAATCAATCACTGCCAACAGTATGAATTGAGGCAAAACATTCTGGAGTGTCACTTCACATCTCTTAGCCTCAATTTTCTCTATAAGTTGGGAGTATAATGATAGTACCTGCTATATCAGTTTTCTCATGTGTAAACTGAGGGTGATAATACCTATCTCACAGGGTTGTCTGTGAGGTTTAGGTAAAGTATCAATACTTGGTTACATGTGTTAGCTTCTTTTTCTTCTTTTTTTATGTTGGGGGTAGGAGTTTATTAATTAATTAATTTATTTTTGCTGTGTTGGGTCTTCGCTTCTGTGCGAGGGCTTTCTCTAGTTGTGGCAAGCGGGGGCCACTCTTCATTGCGGTGCGCGGGCCTCTCACCATCGCGGCCTCTCTTGTTGCGGAGCACAGGCTCCAGACGCGCAGGCTCAGTAGTTGTGGCTCACGGGCCTAGTTGCTCCGCGGCATGTGGGATCCTCCCAGACCAGGGCTCGAACCCGTGTCCCCTGCACTAGCAGGCAGACCCTCAACCACTGCGCCATCAGGGAAGCCCTGTTAGCTTCTTTTATTAATTTTATTATTTTTAACAAACTCCTCATTGGGGTGTTTCCAAAATTAAGTGAAACAATGCAGACAATGCACCTAGCTTGTGCTACCAAATACTTGCTCAATAAAATGATACCGATTTTTCCACTCCTCGTTCCCGACAAAGGGACTACAAGTGCCAGCATGCCCTGCGCCCCCAGTTGGGGCCCCTACGACCGGCGCTGGCGCGCTGCATGCCGGGAGTTGCAGTCCTCGCGAGGCAGGCTCCGCCTCGCCCCAGCTTGGGGGAGGAGGTTGGAGAGCCGCCCTGCCGGCCTTTGAATTTTGCCGCGAAAAGCGCGCGTGGCGGCCCCCGGCTCCGCCCCCCGCAGGACGCGGCGCCGCGTCACCCTGGTAACCGCCTCTCGGCCGCCGCTGATTGGGCCAGAGCGCAGGGGGCGGGCGGGGGGCGAGACGCGGCTGCGGCTGCGGGCGCTAGCGCCTGTCAGTCGGACCGGAGCGAAGCAGCGGGCAGGACTGCAGGGCTGACGGTTCCGCCGAGAGGCTGCGCGCGGCACCCGGGGGAGGCGAAGAGCCGGGCACGCCGCCTGTGGGGCGCGGCGCGCGGCACCCGGGCCCGAGGCGAGGCGAGGCGCCGGCGCGCGCCAGGCGGCTTGAGGCTGAGGCCCCGGGAGCCCCCACGCGCCGCCCGGGGCCATGGGCGCGTGAGAGCCCGGCGCGCGCCGCCCCTGCTGCAGCTCGAGAGCTCGAACGCCCAGTGCACCATCCTCCGGGCCGTCCTCACATCCGCCCAGCGCCACCCGGACCGGTTATTTCTCGGCGCCGAGGCCCCCGGGGCTGCACCCGAGCCTCTACCGCCCGCTGCCGCCGCCGCGGCTGCCGCTGCTCTCCGGCTTCCCCTCCCCCCACACCCGGGGCTCCGAGCAGGAGGAGGAGGGGCCGGTGCATTCTCGCCGCCTCTGTTTGCAACCTGCGGGGGCCGGTGCATGCCCAGCGAGGAGCCGGGCCGCTGCAGGTGCGTGCAGCCTCGGAGGAGGCGACCCCCCCACCCTCGGGCGAACCGGGGGGCTACAAGCCACGGGCGGGCGGTCGAGCGAGAGGAAGCAACAAAGACAGGCTGCAGCTGGGGCCGGCGAGAGGAGCCGTGGTCCCCGGGCTCCTGGCGCGGGCAGAGAGGGCGCCCAGGGGAGCTGCAGCCCCGAGCGGGACCCCGAGGGGAGGCGCAGCGCCGCCCGCCGGACGCTGTGAGCACAGGCCTCCGGCGAGGATGCGCCGCCTGAGCGCCCGCGCGGCCCGGATCCCGGGCGGGCACGACCCCCGCTGAGCCGAGAGAACCCCAACCCCCGACTTCGGACGGCGTGGGCCGGCGCCTGGATAGACCACACCGACAGCGTCTCTTCCCACCCGGAGAGAGGCATCGGCCCCCAAAGGGGGCTTCCTCAGGCAGCCGCTGCCGCCTCTGCCACCTCTGCATGGCTGCGACCCGGCGAGCGGAGAGTCGTAGCCGCTGAGACCTGGTGCCCTTCGACGGCCTGGCTGATTAGGTGAGTTCCGTGGGGCGGGGTTCCGGGATGAAGCTGGGGGCACTCTCTGGCGTCGGGGCAGCCAGATTGGAAATAAAGAGGCCCTGGGCTGTTGGCGATCCTGAAGCAGCAGTGGCCCTTGTCTGCCCCTTTCCCCCCGCGCACAACTTGTCTAGACCGGCCTGTCGGCCAGAGTGAACACGGGGGGCTCGTTGTGAGGATTCCGGCAGAGCCCTGGGTGGGGCGTCTGCCGGAGAGGAAAGGTCACCCCACCCCTAAAGCCAACAGACAAAGGTAGCAGCTCAGTCATCCGAAAATTCCCCGGGAGTTCTCGCGTCTTAGAGTGGTTGGGGGAGCACCCAGGATGGGACACCTTGGGCTTCTCCCGAGTAGCCTCTGAAATCTTCAAGGGACATTAGCTCAGAGGGGGACGTGGTGTCCCGACCATGCAGATGGCTGCGTTGAGGATTGTGCCCTCTGAGGCTGCACTGTAGCAGGGTTCACCTTACCGCCGCGTTCCTACAAAGAGCTCGCAGGGACGATGGTTTCCCCAGTGGGGTCACGGCGTGACGTCACTGCCAGACCTCTGACGTCTCTGCGGTTGCCGTGGCGACGCGACTTGTCCTGACCCAAGGCCAGAGGGGGCGGGGTCGCGGTAACCTGGAGCGAGGCTGGATGCCTTTGAGTAGTGGAGGGGTGAAAGCAGACTTCCCCCACCTCCAACTGCAGTCCTCTGACCTAAATCCCCAGCGCCCCAATGGGGTGGGGGAGGGAGGCAGTGCCAGCTGTCCCTGCTGATGCTCCTCCCCCCAAAGACAGGTGTTTAGCTTTGCCCATATAGCCTGGCAGTGCCTGGGGGCGCAGGACTCCCAAGCAGAGCAACTTTCTGCTTTCAAAAGGGGATGCTACAGAGGAGAGCTCCCTGAACCCCAACCAGCAGGCTGAAGTTCCCAGGGTCCCCAGAGTGATGTGGGCCCCCAGCCTTAAAGCAGGCTACTTCTGCTCAGGGAAACAGGGGTGACCCACCCCCAGCCAGGGAAGGTGCAGAGGAGCTGCTGCTTGCTGCCCCTCCAGTCCAGGGGTTCCCCCTGCTGCTCGACCCCAAGATGGCAGGGCCTTGGCCAAGCCTGAACTCCCGACTGCCCCACTCTCCTCTTGGTGTTTAAGATGATTTGACGAGCACAGTGTGGTGCTCATTAAGTGAATGGAGGATAAGTCAGGCCCATCAGTGCCAAGGTCTGAATAAGCGTGCCCCTGCCAGGGGCCAGCTTTGATGGGGGTCAGGCAGCAGTCCTCTCTTCCCCGCCACACCCCAGCCCTGGCCCTGTTCCTTGTGAAGGCCCAGAGCAGCATTCTGCTGCTGGCTCTTTGATTCCTCTTCTAAGTTCCTTCCAGCAGTTGCTGCCGGTGTCGGATGTGGGTGAAACTGCTGTGATCACATTTCTAGGAAAAGGTTAGAGAACTGTGTCATTGCTTAAGCGGTGCGGGGTGGAGTGACAGCAGAGGGGAGTGTGTGTGGGTCATTATGAGAAGCCAGGCCCCAGTCTCTACGTAGTGAGCTTTTTCTCCCCCGCCCCGTTCTCCTACCAGGCTATCTAGCTAGATTTAACAGGTCGATAAGTATCAGTGGAGCTGCTTTGGGGGGCTTGGCAGGGAGATGATATTTCCAGCTGAAATGGTGTCGTTAAACACACAGGCTTCCAAGGACGGAGCAACGGCAGATGGGGGTAGAAGCGGGAGAGGTGGGCAGAAGGGCTGTTTGCGCTGCCTCTAGAAGCTTCCCAGTTTAGAAACAAACTCGGAGTGCGCGCCAGAGATCCACAAACACAGGCAGTCGGAGGTCCTCCGTGGAGTATTTACACTTCCACAGCCAAGGCGGAGGGAGAGGCTGTCAGAATTGGGCAATTCCTTCTGTTCCCTTCCCTGGGCTTGGCAATAGCACCAGGCAACAAGCAGGAGGGAGTGCCAGCTTACCCGGCGTCTCCTACGTGCCTGGCATTTTACAGGATCTCAGTTACTCTTTGGAGTAGCTTATGTGCTGTGGCCCATTTTACAGATGAGGAAATTGAGTCTCAAACAGAGGAAGCAACAGGCTACAGGTGCTCAGCCAGGCAGCTGCAGAGGCTCAGCTCTGAACTGCCTTGGCTCCTGAGTCCCCAGGTCTTCCCGCCCCCTTCCATGGGTGGAGGGAGGCACCCCCACTTGTTGGACAAGGGTCCCTGTAAGACTCAGGGGCCATCTGCTATGGAGGCACTGTGATGCCTTCCCACACTGAAACCCGGGTTTGAATCCTGCTTCCCCATTACCTACAGGACAGTGTTGAGCAGAGTAGCAACTTGTGTCCTGGCCTTGTGAGCAGCCTGTTCCCCTCACCCCCAGCACCCCTTTCTCCAATACTGGGGTAAGAAAGGTATGGCATGAAACCTGCCTTCCAGGAAGGGTCAAGAGAGCCAGCCCTAGGCTCCTTGTCACCTGCCCCTCTGGGCTTACCTCGGGGAGGGGTGTGAGTCTGCCCTCAGCCATTCTGGGCACCCTCTTGGTTGGCCCTCAGCTGGTGGGGAAGTCAAGGATGTTGATGGGGCAATGACAACTTTGGCTCCCAACCCAGCCTGAGGGTCAGGAAGGGCCCTATAACATGGTACCATGTGAGTCTCAGAAAGGACACATAGAGACCTGCCAGGCAGGGGAGTGGAAAGGTGTTCTGGGCATTAGGAGTGGCCGTGTAGCAAGCCTGAGTGCTGGAGTGTGCTGCTGAGGGGAAGAGGTGGCCCTGGGGTGGGTGTGTCCTGGAGGCTGAGGTGATGGGAGAGATTTAAGCAGGGAGAGGATCCAGTGAGGGCTCCCTTGACAGTGACGGAGACCCTGGACATCCCTTCCAGTCCGGGGCAGGTGGAGGGGGGTGTGTGGAAACCTTCTCAACTCTCTGAGCAGTCTCCTCTCTCAAGGTTAGCTCCCTACCTTCCACCCGCAGTAATCCTTATCACAGGTCTAATTCCATATAAGCTCACCCACCCCCTATCCCTTCTGAGCTTCACAGTTGCTCTGGACCGGGGCTGCACTGGGCTGGGTTTCTTAATGCCCAGTGGCTCGTGATTAAGAGCCAGGCTGTGGAGTGGGTCCACCTTGTTGGCTGTGTGACCTTGGGTGAGTAGCTTTGCCTATCTGAGCCTCAGTTTCCTCATCTGTGAGAAGAAGCAGATAATAGCATCCACTGCCCAGCCTCGTGTTAGGGATTCAGTGAGG